CAGTTATAGATGTGCATCCATTAATTGATTTCTGAGTGATTCGTTAAATTTGGTCCAGTGCCTCATGAGATATTTTTTTAACAGACAGACAAGGTATATGCAAACAGTTTTAAGCAAAAAAAAATGTTGCGCAGTATGTTATGTATGTCTTCAATAGTTATTGGCAAATGTTTAAAAACAGAACAGTTTGTGCTCAGCGTATGTATTAGAAATGACTCTTAGCTACTACCAAGTCAAATTTTAGCCGAGAATTTGCACAACTGACTGAATCATAGTCAAAAACTTTTTCACTCCTCACTGAAGATAGAGCGGGTTAATGTCATCTTTATTTTTGTTACCATACCATACCATACCAATTTATTTATATAGCACTTAAAACAGCAACAAGGCCAACCAAAGTGCTGTACAAAAGAACACAAACATGCACAGCGGACAGGAAAACATAAAATAGAAATACAGATACAAATAGCAGCAGAAGCTAACTAAAATGGCCAACAGAGTAGAGAACAGACCGGACCAAAACAAATCACACCGTTACCGTTTAAACAGCCACTCCACGGATGTTTAAAGCAGATCTGCTCAATGAGTGGTTTCTAAACACACGTCACACAGGGTGTAAAGCGGAGTGTGAGGCGCAGAGCGCCTTGTGTTGCAGGCCCTACTAGAGTGGAGTCATTAAAAACGGTCTGTGGCTCTTTAAGTGGCGTCTCTACTTCTCTCCCAGGCGTAATTCTCCATGCATCGCTTGCCAATCTTTCACTCCCCCTCTTTTCTAACTAATCAGTGTGGTGCAGGGGCTGCTGGCGCTGTGCTGCCAGATGAGGGAGGGAGGGAGGGAGAATTCAGAACCAGTTTGAAATAGTGGACCAAGGATAGCGATACGTTCAGCACAACGGACAGCTCCTCAGAGCTGCAGAGGCTTAAGGAAGAGTTCATTTAGGACAGTGGTTCCAACCCTGGTCCTTGAGGAACACCATCCTGCATGGTTTAGTTGCTTCTCTGTTCCAACTCACCTGATTTGAATGAATGGGTTATTAACAGGCTTCTGCAGAACTTGAGGATGTAAAAAAAAAAAAAAAAATCACTGAACCAGGTGTGTAACAACTAAAACATGTAGGATGGTGTTCTTCAAGGACCAGTGTTGGGAACCGCCGATTTAGGACAAATCAAGCTAACTTTATTTTATTTACTTTTTCTGATTACATACAAAGGCACACATCTTCATTCGAGTTTAAAATGATGGTTTTGTGGAAGGATTATGAACAATTGCTATCTTACCTGTTGTAGATGTCTCTTTGAACAACCTGGGTTTGAACAAACTGTTTGAATTTGACATGATGAATTGTATAGCCTTCAAACATCTCCGGTCTCTAAGCTTCCATAGAAGTTGATGTGAACAGTACTTTATGTACATTTACAAGTATGACAGCAGGAGCAGCTAGCTGTAGCACATCCATCAGGAATGTTATATTATTCTTCCAGAATACTGAGGGAAAAATTGAGAGTGGGCTGCAACTGTTGGTGACAAACAGTGAATGCCATCCAAGAGGACGTTCCCATAATGTTTTGAACAATTACAAGTGTAGCCCACCTTTACCCTCGGTACTAGGTAAGGGCCTCCTAGATTCTTATATGTAGCATTAAAAACTTAACTGTTAACTACTCATTTAATTTGCTGAACTTCAAGTTTAACATATCCTTTAACAGACTCAATTATCTCCTAATTTCCTTTCAATACACACTGTGGTCATGAACACACTCACACACTCTGTTTAACTAAAAATAACCAAACCGCAAGGTAAATGTGAACTCCGTTTACTTAATGCGTCTTTAAACGTTGAACAACATACACAATACAAAACAAAACTGCATCTGTAGTCAGATGTCACTGTAAATAGTCAACTCTATGTGAGGGGCCCACTCACCAATCAAACACACAGACACCTGCCGGCTTATCCAGCTCTAAAACCTTAAAGTTGCAGGTCTGAGCGAAGCTTGGGAGCAGTGAGGCCCAAAACTTAATGGCCGTTTCACTCTTTGAGCAAATAAATTAAACAAAACTGGTTTAGTAGTTCAGTACGTACAGACTCTGGTCCCAGTTCAGGTGAAGAGAAAAACCAAACAATGTTCTAAGGTGGTGGTGCAATCATCCTTCTGCTGGTCCATGTCGAGGAAAGTAGGAAAGAAAAATATATATTCCAAAGGCACTCTTCAAGCAGTCCATAAACACTTCAGTTACGACTAATCTTCACATCCAGGTCAGAATGATGAAGAGGCAGTCTCCTTAGTAAGCTGAACAAGCTAAACTAGGATTCCTGTGCAGCATTCACTTAGCTAGTGAATGCTAAATGTTCAATGTTAAACTGTCTCAAAGTGCAAAAAACAAAAAAACTGCAGGACAAACTTCAAGCTGAAATGTCCACTGTTCCCAAAAACCATCAAACAAGCGTCCATTACCGATCACTTTGTTAACAATCAGGAAACTCATTTAATTACTCCAAGCTGCAGCACCTGTTGCCTCTGGTGTGACTGGCTCCCAGTCACTCTCATCAAGCTCTACCCCCTGACTGATCACACTTCTTTGGGCTTTTCACAATAAAGCAGAAATAAAATACATCAACAAAATGTTATACTTTTCTTGCTTTTAACTTATGTTTGTGCATTTTAAGCAGTTTTTATGCATTTTACAGCATAAATGAAATACAATTGTAGCTATATTTACCACATATTTAACTTAAAGAGTTTTTACATTTTCTTTAAACAATCACATATTTCATAAATTTAATCAATGCACTAAAATATTTGTCTGGGTTACACAAGGGTTCTCAGTTTCCTTGTCATAGGTCCTCGCTCTGGTACCACTAGATATTTGAACATGTTCAAGAAAACTTTAAGGCCAGTCTTTTCTCCAGATGGTCAGTCCTCATGGATATGGAGAACCTGTCTCAATTTAGTTTCCATCAGTATCAAAGCATGAGAAATATGTGATACTAAGCTGTGACTGATTAGAGACCGTGGTACACGGGGGGTACTACGGCATATCGTCATCCAGCAGCTGAGGTCCACATCACTTGACGTCTGATGACAAGTTGATTGCTGGACTGGAGAGAGGCTCTGTGTTTATGGTCCAGACTTCTCAGTCGTGATGCATAATCACATGTTTTTGCAGCACATGCTAATAACAAAAGTTGTGACAAAAGTGTCATAAACTTGCAAACCAATGTAGCATCACATCCCTTGTGAGTACTCTGTAAAATTAGGCCCAGATTTCTATGGATATTTTGTGCACTATCCTCAAATATGTCAATTCACTGTGGTCCAAGTGAAAGTTTGCAACAACAAAAAAATTAGCAATCTTTTAGCTTTATTTAATCCCTAACTATTGCGGCACAGTGTGGAGATTAGAGTTGTTGTAAGATGATAGATATTGACTTTGGCTTTGACTATGTTCCGTTTCATCAGATTGGGACGTTTTCCCTCCAAGCTGAGGTCATTCCAAAAGGCAGCACAACAGCACAGTGGTTAGCACTGTTGCCTCATAGCAAGAAGGTCCTGGGTTCAATCCCCGGTTGGACCTGGGGGGTTTTCTGTGTGGAGTTTGCATGTTCTTCACATGCTTGTGTGGGTTTTCTCTGGGTACTCTGGTTTCCTCCCACAGACCAAAAACATGCATGTTAGTCTGCCTTCAGGTCCAGGCCTCCCTTGCTAAAGAGATCTGTGATCTTAATGGGATTTCCCTGGTTAAATAAAAATTAATAAAATAATAATAAAGAGCTATGTACAGCAGGTAAGATATCATTTGCTCATAAATGTCCACAAAATCTCACTTCAAAGTGGCCATATATATATATATATATATATATATATATATATATATATATATAT